ATCTACAAAAAATTGAATTTGACTGATATTTGAAACAATTTAATCATACATGTCTCTGGCTTTCTGTTTAATGACAAATGCCTTACACTATATGACTATTTATCCTTTTATTGAACTTGACCTACATGATGCATCATGTAGTTCAGAGCCTGGTCATCTGACGTTATTTTGAATATGAAGCTATTCTTCATTTTAAAACAATAATTTTCTAAGTGCAGAATGTTTACATAGACCCCACTGTATAGTATTAAAAATTTTAATGCTTTTATCAACATTTTATGATTTAGTAGTGACTGATGTATGAAAAAATAATAATATTTCTAGATTACTTATTTACTTTTGCTTCTAAGTAAGTGCTCTATGGAATTCCAAGATGGTTGCTACTATAAAATATTGATTAAAAAAGAAAATAAAACCTGCTATGAGTAAACAATTTTTCATATTTATAATGGAAAATTGCATACATACTAATTTTCAGTCAAAATGGAGGAAGTTTGGAATTTTTCGTGCAATTTCTTACTTGTGACTTATTGTTTCACTTACTGTCTGTATCCTCGTATGTTATAGGATAACAATAATTTTTGTGTTTTGTGTGTCAAACTTTGAGAAAATTTTGATCTCACTAGTCTAAAACTAACTAAAACTAAAATCTATGAAATGTAAAGTTTCCTCATCAATTTTTGTGCCTGTTTTGTAAATTATTATTCACGCAACAAATAGGCTAAAAGTGAGCATTTTATTTCATACTATAATTGTTTCTTTTTGAATTCCAAGTTTTAATTTTCTAATGTGTACTTAAGAAAATTAAGAAAAATAGAAAATATCACCAATACTATTTTACATGTTTACACTAAGTACCATTAATACGTTGCTAATGTCTGATATATTAGGAAAAACTTAGGCACAGCCAGAAATCTTTAATTGAGTGTTCACCAAGTGATTTGAAGTCTAATCCAGCTATTACAATAATATTTCCATTTATTCATTTATTAAATTTAAGCATATAAAAATAAAACTTGTCTTAATTGATTTTTAAAATTAGAGATAATAAAATTTTATAATCCATGACAATTGAAGAATTGTTTTTGAATACAAATATTTTAAAAGAAGAATGTTTTGTTTGTCATTGGGCAGTTTTATTAATTTGTGCTCTGATAAAACTGCACACACTTAGCTTCATCTAGGAGTACAAGCTTAATGAGCATGCACCGGTCACGCTGTGAAAATGCGAATGTCAAAGAACGTTCCATTTTACTTTCTAAGTAGTCTTGCATTTTGTTTGTTTACTATCACAATCAACCAGGGGAAAACCCCTTGGAATTATGCTTTCAAGATGATGCTGTACATCAATTTATTAATTTGATCTGCATGTTTTATTGTCTAAAAGCATGACAATACCTTTATTAATGACTTTTTGTGTAAATCGTATAAAATCAAAGCCTTACATTTGCAAGAATTCGTTCACAAGAGTGGGTCTTATCTCTTCTCAACCCTTCATGTTTCCTGCGTAGGGTTGCTTAAGTGACATTTTTTTCCCTCCATCTTTACATGCCAAAATTAAATAGAATAGCATTAACTATAATATTAATGCTCTTCTGATGCATTAATGTACCATTTGTAATGAATTCAGAAAGTTGATGTGAAGTAGTATCATTCTTCAAAAAATTGACCCTAGCAAATTGCAACCCTAATCAGTAATACATATACAAAATATGTTTTATTGTGTCTTGTTGAAAATTTCTCATTCCTACTACTGAATCATAAATGTCTGTTCATTTCTATATAGATGGTATAGTTGAATTTGCCTGTTATTTTCTCACTCAGTTCTTTCAGAGCCTTTGTTGTAACAAATTCGTGGTGCAAATGTGATACCTACATCCACTCCGCTGCTCTCCGTCTATCTTCTCATCCTAATGCAGGTCAAATCTTCAGATGCAACTATTTTTCAAATACCATGATTCCCTTTAATTTACTTTATTGACATTTCATTTTTTTTTCTCTACCTCCTCTTTATTTCCCATATTTGTTTCCCAGTTCACCTCAGAGGGTGTTCAACACCATTTAATTTCTTATTCCTCTCTCACCAATTCATGTGTGATCTTATCACTGATATCAGATGATCTAATTCAGCAATATTCCACACATTATGTAACACCAGGATATATGTTCCAATTTCAGTTTCCAAAACACCCATGGCTCATGCTGCACCTTATCCATGTTTTAGAGAGCTTTGATGACATGGCACTTCAATCACATTCAAACCAATTTTTCTTGGACAAATCAAAGTTGTGTTGGAAGATGCTGGTGAAACATAGTTAAGTTCTGACAGCTAATCACCACACTCGTGTTACAAAGATTAAAAGGAATTTCAACACTGCAGGGGAATTTTGATGCATATTCTGATCAGTGATGTGATTAGAATGTTGAATTGATTTTATACCATTTAATGATAGATTATTATGGATCGTATAAGAAACAATATATATTCTAACAAAAATTATCCCCCAAAAATGTGTGCTTGAATTTTACATTTATAGTATAATCGAATTCTCTCCCTGACCATTTAAAATTCCTTAGCACATAGAATTCCCTAAAATGTAATCATTATTGATTTAACTGTTAGGAGATGTACAATGCTACATCCTTTTCCTTGCATGAGCTGAAAGCCAATAAGTTAAAAGTCTTGCAAAAATACATAAATTTAACTTGGGAAAATTGTTAATGAAATCTTAATTAATAGAAAATTACAGAATCAAATAATGTCCAATCAGTTGCTTTGTTTCAATTCATAGTTAAGTTTTTAGGAAAAATATTTTACATGAACGCAAACTGAGAAGTTGAGAGCTCACCAATCATGATCTATCTGAAAACTGTAGTGCTTACTAATACATTGGAATTAAAAGCTCAAAGGCACAAAAACTCGAAGTGTTTCTTATCAAATTTCAATTTTTCACAGAACATCAGTGTCTCACGAATGTTAAGTCGCTCTGGTCCCCTCTCCCTCCATTTTTATCCCCCTTCGCCCCGTTTCGCCTTTCCCGGGCTTGTTCCGCTCTACCGCGACCTGAATCATCTCACCCAAACCCATTCTTCCAACGAAGAATAGTCCGTCCCGTATTCAATTGTTCTTATCCATTTCGTCCCTATCCAACCCGGTCGACTCGCTCCCCTCGCCAAGCCCGTCTCACCACTCTCGCCGCGAACCCGCTCCGCTTCACTCTATCCAAGTCGCTCGCCGACCGGTCGACCCAACCTTGTTCCGCCACGCCCCTTTTTCGAAGTGTTTCTTCCCGACCAGTTCCGACTCACCCTGTTCCGCCCCGCCCTCCTTCGAAGTGTTTGTACCCGACCCGTTCCGACTCACCCTGTTCGACCCCGCCCCCTTTCGAAGTGTTTTGTACTCGACCCGTTCCGACTCACCCTGTTCGACCACGCCCCCTTTCGAAGTGTTTCTACCCGACCCGTTCCGATTCGTCCAGATCCGACACGTCACGACAGGTTCCCTCTCGTACAGTCTAGAGATGAGACATCGATTTCGACCTTTACAAAACATCGATGTTTTTTATAAAATAATTATTTTAATAAATAATTTAACATCTATTTTTTGAAGCTGATGTTTTGTGTTCGATGTTTTTACGGGATTGATACTTTACTTTTGAATGAAAAAAGTACTATAATAATAAAGACATAATAATTTTGAGAACCGTGAAGGACATTCTTCAGATCAAAGAGAGCAAGGTTGAAGAATAATTAAAATAAAGCTTTTGCCGATAATTGAAATTGATATTATTTTTTAATTATTCATTTAGATAATAAACCTTTACTTGTCAACATTATTTTACCAGTTATATTTCAGTTAAAAATTACTAACCGCGAGCACCGTGAATTTATCTCCCTCCGAGAGTATTAATGGTTACCAAATGCATTTATTTTCACCAACGTTAATGGTTTTAAGTCAATGTTTTTATTAACACCATGTTTTCATTTTTATGTTCCGAAACATCGATGAATGTTTATAAACATTGTTTATATGAATGTTTATAAACATTGAAGTTTTACTGATGACGTAGCATCCCTAGTTTGTTAAATGTCTACATCGGTTTAGACGTTATTTTATCAGTTAGATCGGAGTTAAAGTTAATAAACGAGAGCACCATGAAATAATCCCACTCTGTGAGTATTAATGGATACTAATTGCAGTCATAAAACATCGATGGTTTTGGGGCGATGTTTTGTTGTCTATGTCGCACCCCCAGTACTATTTCGACCTGATGGATCAGCTCTGTTCTTTCCCCGCGCATCGCTCCCCATCGATGATTTTGGGAGTTTAATTTTGAACATCGGTGCTTTGTTGTCGATGTCGTACCCTGTGCACCGTCTAGACAAGATTGGATCCGCTCTGTCCCCTCCCGATCCCAACACCGATGGTTTTAGTGCTTTAATTTTGAACATCGATGTTTTGTTGTCTATGTCGCACCCTCAGTACCGTCTTGACCTGATTGGACCCGCTCTCTCCCGTCCCAGCTCCCCAACATCGATGGATCAATTTTGAACTTCAATGTTTAGAAACATCGATGTTTTGTTGTGGATGTCGCGCCCCTAGAACCGTCTCAACCTGACTGGATCCCCTGTGTCCCTTCCTCACTCCCCGCCCCGCCCCACGCGCCCGGCGGCCGCCCGCTGAGCGCCCGCGGCTGTCGCGCCGGCCTTCCGCCGCAGGTGAGCCTGGACTCGCGGTGCGGGAGATCGTCAACCGAACATGGTGGACCCCACGCCGCACACCTTCGACGAGGCCCAGCTGCAGATCTACACGCTGATGCACCGCGACTCGTACCCGCGCTTCGTCAACTCCAGCCAGTTCAAGGCGCTGGCGCAGCTCACTGGCAACGGCAACGGCAACGGCGGCGGGGGTGGGGGCGGCAGCTCCCGGGCACGCCCACCGCCGGCAGCGGCGGGGGCGTCGGTGGTGGTGGTGGCGGCGGCGGCGGCGCGGCGGCGGCGGAGGCGGCGGTGGCGGTGGCGTGGCGGCGGAGGCGGCGGAGGAGGAGGGGAGGCGCGGGCGGCCGCAAAGACAATTCGCGTAATCGCCACCTCACCGCTCAAACGCACCGTGCGCCGACCGTCTCGTGAGAGCACGTTGCCCGAAAAAATGCGTTCTTTTGTTTAAAAAATAACGAGCGATTATATTGTATAATAAAAAAACAAACTGTTACTCACCGGTTGTGGTTGGACAGAACACTAAGTTGGACGCGCACATCCACACAATTCTCACAACCAGGTCGGTACTCTTTATCCGCGCCTTCGTCGCGAGGGCGGCATGGACTGTGTTGCGATAGTGACCAGACTGTGGCGTATGCAATTTTTTGGTTATTTTATCTCTTCTGGTAAATATAAACAATAAAATTGGCGCAAGATGAGGCCCGACCAATACGGGGGGCGAAAGAGGGATGGAAACAGTGATACAGCACACTGCGAAGAAAACCCACTACACTCATCATTTATACTTGTGACAATCCATAGATTCATAGACGAAAAATTTAAAAAGTTAGCTTGAGCTCTAGGCCTATTTCATACTTCTGTCTCAAGAATTGGAGGTTGCGTTGGTGATAACTGTAAACTAGTGCGATCTCCAGTGCGATCCTAGAACCCGGTCCTCTAGTACTGCAGTAGGACTTAAGTATACGGCCTAGTTGACTGCAAAATACCTCTGCCCTTCTACAATACTTACCTTGTGCTCTATGAGATGGAAATCCAAAAGCTAAATTTCTGTTGTTCAGAAGTGACAATAATGTCGCTATCATTGCAGCCTACATTAGATATAGTGTAATTTGTTTGTCACTTATTATTTGAAAGTATTAGGCCTAACCCTAAGGAGAAAGGTACAGAAAGGATATTTTGCAATATGCTCAAGAGGATAGGGAACCTTGGTTCTCTGAAGCTCTTGGGACCTTTTTGGTCCTAAAGCCTCTCTTTGAAATGCCCTGAGCATGCTTCCACGTCATGCCAGTCGAAGATGAATGTAATCAAACTAGTCTGTTTGGAATGCTTTCACTGAAGTCTTTTGTGCTGACACTTTCTTTGAAATTGCTATTGTGCTCTAGCCACACAATAATGGTAAAAATTCTATTCTAAACTTTTCATGTGACTTGATATTCTATATGGTTTTCCAAGAACATTCTAAATTTACTTTTCTCAAATAAATTTGCAAACACTAGCTTGCTGCTAATACAAAAGCTATCTCATGAAAGTTCTTCCTGAGCTCTTAAAAGAAAAGTGCTCTTTTGGATCTCTGTAACGTGTACTCTAGAGATCATTAGCGTGTTGTTTACACACCATGTATCTGTCACAAAATCTGTATTTTATATCTTGCATTTCATACACTATATACCAAGAACTGTCTGACAGAAAAAGAAGCTTGGTGTTGCGCTACAAGGGCGAGTTGTTTATATATTGTCTACAGTTTATTTTCCAACCTGTAGAGATTTAATTTAAACATTCGGTTGTCTTAGACACAGAAGCGCACAAATTTTAGGTGGATATTAACACAATGTGCCCTGGTCATGCACGTGAGGCGGTTCTCAATGTTTCTATATACTATAAGGCTCTTTATGGTGAACCAAAGATGCAACGAAAACCTGATTTTCTTGATAAGCAGTTAAAAGGAATTGGACAGTGTTAAATGAATGGTATCATGATGGCCGATAAGAAAGTGTGAGAGAAAACACAAAGAACCAAGATTTTGAAATTATTGTCATAGTATGAATTCGATGGAATTCTCTCTAGTCTTTTATATATTTAAATCAAATTTTTGCAGATGGTTGATTACTGATTTTATATTTATTTGATGTTTTCTAGTCCTAGTAATTTATAAGATAATTATAATGACATTATCATGTTCCTAATTTTCTAGTTCAGAAGTTTTAAATGTTTCCAAAGGAAATAAGCCTACATGGTTTTGTAAACTACTTTTACACATTTAATCACATTGTTTCCTTGTCATTTTATTCACGGTGTGCAAGTGAGAAATTGGCAAAGAAGGCTTGAAAAGTAAACTCCAACTGCTTCATTTGTAGAAATATTGGAACTGTGTCTACACAAAGAGAAAGAACCAAGGCCAAACAAACCTAACAAATGATCACTCATTCTTTATTTTTTAATGTACATTGTTCAAACTATTTTGTGGTAGATCGTGTGAGACTTTTGCTGATTGCTGGTGGTTGTTGTAGCATAATTGTGTCTGTAGATGAAGCCCAACCTCTGTTGCCTCTGCACCCTGTCTCACCCTGTCACAACGTTAACAATACAAATCCTCAACTCATGCTAGCCTCCTGAGAATGTTGCCATGTTTTATATTGGAAATCATCATTCCCTCTGCATATTATTCATTGATATTTATTACCTATTAATGTGTTGACCAACTCTTCTCGTAAAGACCAATACTTAGATGAATGGTGCACATTTTTATTAAAAATCCTTGTTAATAGGGTGATAGAAACTCGAAAAATTATCCATGTATATGTAAATAATATTTGTATACACAAACAAGCATTGAGGTTAATATATAAATATATGTACTTAGTGAAATCGAATTGGAGTCATGATGGATTATAAGTGGCAGTTACACTAGCTTACCTGCAAGTTGGTGTTGATTGGGTAAATAAGTGTGCAAGAGCATTTAGAGAAGACTGGCTCTGCTGGTACAGGAGCTGGTATGGAACTCGACAAGCATCTAGTGAATTACTGTGACATGCAATCTGATGTTAAAAGGACAAATTCCTTATCAAAGAAAAGTGTCAAGTTTTGTGTTCGTTACGTGTTCAAAAAAGAAAAAAATGGCTCCGTACAAGCCACCGTTGTTTTTCTCTACCAATAAGTGTGTATGGTGCTGCAACTTTTATTTACCCTCATTCCATTACAAGAACATCTTCATGTTACACTATTATGATTATTCCCAAATCATTTGAATAAATCCCATTAAATCATCTATTGGCACATTGTATTACTTATATTAGTATCAACCAAAATCTTCTATATTAAAAATTTTGCATGCTGTTTGCATTCACAGGAAAAGATAAAATAATTTAACTACACTTGATAATTTAATTGTTTGTATTTACATCAGTATGAGTTTGAGTAATCTTTCTGTATGATCAAAGACACTTTCTTCCCTTGTCATTTTTATTAATTTATATTGTACAATTTTACATTTGTTTTCAATTTTTTTACACTTCAAAAAAAATATTTTTACACAATTTTTTTAAAAGAAACATTAGTCTAATGAATAATTAGTTTAAATAAAAAAATTAAATTAGGCCTTCTTTCATTTCAGAATTTAAAACATAATTTTCTCATTGAAAGTTCTTTACACCATCGAAGGAACACCATTTTCATGACAATATTTACACGTTCAGAAACAAACAAAGATGACAAAATAATTCATTACAATATAATTATGTATGTCACAAGGTTTTTGTTTCAGTCATATTGATATTATAACATAGGCATTATTTTGTGTGGTGCAAATGCAATATTGTTTTACATCCTAAAAGTACCCAAGCTGCAATCCTTATTAAGATAAATAAACCAAGTTTTCAATTCATGAGAAATATTAAATTACTAACTCCAATCAGATTTATTTTATTTGAGTCATAAGAAAAAGTGATGGATGAGGTTTTTGGTGAAACATGAGTATGACTTTTTCCATGAATGTTCATTTTGACCATAGTTAAAGTTATATGTTAGAACTGACGAGAAATTGATTGGTAATACTGAGTTTTTTAAATGTTTATATTGCTTCAAAACTTTCTTCTTTAATTAACTGAGCATTATAAGCATTTTCTAGCAATTGCATAATCTTTTGAAGCATTTCTTGATTCTTCTGGCTGGTTTCATTCAAATCTTCCAGCTTTGCTTCTAATTGGGAAATTTTTTCAAAGTGGGTACAACCTTCGTTGCATGAAGGATTTTTCTGAGACTGTAGAATCTTGTCAGCTGCTTTTAAGATGGATACATCTAGATAATAACGACAGTCTAACGGCTTGCAACATTCATCATCGGAGGTGGCTTTGCGACTTTCGGGGCTAAAATAGATTTCACTCGCCTGGTTCGGAAGGACTGAAATTTTTCCATCCGGAAGCACATAAGGGAAAAGTCTTACTTTCTTCGCCTGGTTCGTGAGGCTACACAAAGGAAGTTTCTGAAGGAATGAGAAAGCTTGGAAGAAGCAGCAATCATTATCTTTGCATTTTCGACACCAAAAGGGATGACTGAGAAGAATCTTCTCCGTGTAGGACACAAGATTGATTCGAGACACAATACCGACCAATTCCGCATCTTCACGTATTGCTTGCGTGTCGCTGACTGCTAGACCATTTAGCAAATTGAAGAGTACGATGGCCACAAGGAACACAAAGAGAACAAACACAATGTGACTCGTACCAGGAAACATTACGAAAGGAAGTTCTCCTGCTTCAAATTCACCGGTTACCATGACAACAGTCTTGAAGAAAGACGACCCTGGGTCCAGAAAGAAGTTGTCTTCCTCTGTACTGCTACGAAAGAGGGAGTAGAAACTTAATGCAAACGCAAAGATAAGCAGAGAATACCAGGCCAAGAACTTCAGAAAGTTCATCGAAACAGTTTTCAACATCTCTATGTTCGTAGAAAGACGTGGATGACGGCCTATAAGTAAAACTAATTCTGCCCACGACAGCAATATTGTAATGGCAGACAAGTGCGGTCTAGTCCGTGGACCCACCGAAGGATGAAATAAAACAAATCCGCAAAAAACGAGGAGCAGAATTTCAAGGTAATTTTCAAGAGAGTAAATGTAATGCTTTGGCGCAACTATCAATTGAAAAAATTCTCTCAGTACTAGTACAATGAACAGCACCGAAACAATTATCCAAATGATTTTGCAACCTAAAGAGCTGGGCATTTCATGCCCAGTGTCATTTTTAGTGGCATTTTTTGGTGGACTGTCAGAGGAAGGCTTAATCAACGCTGCGGGACCATCTTCTTCGACAAGGTCTTTGAGGTCTCCCAAGGCAGATTCATAATAGAAAAGAATGTAAATAGTTAGAAGAGAAACAAACAGTAAGTAAAAGCATAAATTTATCCAGAAAAAGGATCGTATGCCTCGCCATTTAATCTCCAGGAAGCTAGTAATTACTGGGTGGTTTAATACAGGACGAAGGTCCTTCACTTTACTTATGTGAAGTAAAGGTGCGCATTCACATTCAACAGGGTTTGTGGGTACTCGATCATCCGATATTGGAATTTTATAAGAGTTTATTGAATTACTGTCACAGAAAGGAACTGATTCATCTGGAGGTTTTAAAAAATTTACATCAAACAATACTTTGTAATCATCATCTCTGGAAGATTTCTCGCTAGTCACACATTTGTCTAAAAAGTTTCTTAGTGTAACAGGTGATAAATCTACAATTGGTATGTCTCCAAACTTGTTTTTTGTTCCGATGTATGCTCCCTTTTCCAATAATTTTAGAGTAAAATCTTCTATTCCATATTTTACTGCAAGATGTAAGGGAGTATTTCCTATACTATCCTGCGAATTTATATCGCTTAGGTAATTTTCATTTTTGTTATCTAAAAGAATAGTGAAACACTTTTTGTACTTCTCAAATGTGATGGACTCGGGGTCTGCTTTTTCAATGACATCGTGCAGCGCGGTTTTCCCATCCTGTGACGTTATTTTGGCGCCATGTTTGCAGAGAAGTTCCAGAACGTCACTGTCGCCATTGCGAGCAGCAAATTGGGCTGGAAGAGTTTGCTGGCCTGGCGTCGTGAGACTAGGATCGGCACCGCTTTCCAGGAGAGCTTTTACAATTTTGATCAGTCGGGGGTCGAATAGTCTGTCCTTCACAGCTTTCTGCAACAGTGTGTAAGAGCCGTCATTGGCGTCCACCCACTCTTTGTTTGGTTCCTTGTCTTTCTTTTGCTCGAGTAACTCTAGAAAACCATCCACATCTCGATGGTCCAGAAAATCTTTTAGCTGCATATCTTTCTCGGCGGGTATGATGGCATTCAGTTCCTCATCGAAAACGTCATTAAATTTTTCTTTGATAAGCTGCCTTGCAGTACTTTTGTTGTACGTTTTGTCCACATCGACCATAACTCCATGCTGTAGCAGTATTCGCACTGTCTCTCGTTGGTTTTTAGAAGCGGCGATAAAGATTGGCGTCTGCCCCTTCCGGTTAGTTTGGTTGACGAGAAGTCGAGGACAAGCAAGTAATACGCCCATGCACTCTGCCACCTGCAACAAAATGATATACACATATCATGGGAATGTAATCGAATCAAGACTATTAACTGGGAAGGAGAAAAAGAATACAATTTCCTTCACTACATAATTTTCAGTGAAAAATGAATGTAGCCATATTTATTTGTTTTGAATTTTATATTTTTTTTTATTTCTCAAATACGAATATGATACATTGCAAAAGGGGTTTCCTCAGTTAAAATAACTATATTTTGTTCAACAATACTTACTACATATTTTGCAAATAGATGAAAAATATTTATTAATAGAATATATAATTGTTTTGGGTTTTCTTTCTTTCACGCCACGCTAGCTTAAAGTTAACATTTGACGAGATCACGGAAAGAACATTAGTTTTACGTACTTCCAATAATATCATTATGTAATAATTTTGAGAAAAGTAGCTACCGTTCTGTTATTTGTGGTGTATAAAGAGAGAAGTTGGACGGGTTCTCCTTTGAATATAAATTCTAAACTCCGTGCGAAGCGACTTAATACTGAAAAGATACTCGTTCCTGTTAATTCAATTTTGATAATTTTGGAATTGATGTGTTCTCTCCATGTCCTCTTTACTCTTTTAAGATGCGTTGTTATTCGAGTAGTCAGGAAAGGGAGCTTAACTATAGATGAGTAAGAATTATAAAAATCTTATATTACAGATTCAACTTTATAAGAAGGGAATTCAGAAGAAAAAATGGCTGGCCATCTTTTGAGGTATGTATTATTTTTAATATTGGATATGTTGAATTCTGGATTGCTATTGAATTGAATTGGATATGTTCTGATGTACTTTTGGCATTGAAGAGAAACTGAGAGGCACTATACTTTCACGATCTGCAGAAACTAAAGAAAATTACGAAATGTTTACTAAATATTTGCATTTTTTCTTATTAGTTAGTTCCAAAAATATGATTTAAGAAATATTATTGGTAAATTTTGTTTTTGAAGAAGGTAAATCGCATCCAAAATTACGTAATTAATGTTGGTAAAAACATTGTTTTCATAAAATACATAGTCTTGTTCTTGGAGAGTTATAACAACTTAATGAAATTACTCCAAAACGTTCTTACATAGATTCGTATTCTTTACTTTCCTTCAGTGACAAATATAAAGTGCTTAATTGAAACAAATGTCTCCTTAAACTGCAAAATTGATTGCTCGATTAGTGTTTCCAGACGCGTTTACTGCTAAGACCATTAGTCCCGTATTTGTGATGCATTTTTATCACGGGAAGAATGGGGTGAGAATGGGACAAGGAGTAGGAACGAAAGATCGCAGGCTGTCCGTAGCCCGTTTGTTAGGGTACTGCACCGGCATTCGTCCCGTGTTTATCGGATAAAACACGAAAAACTACCAATCGGAACAGCCGGGCATTAGAATTCCCCTCCAGACAGCGGCTGAATTCGACCTATGTAGCCTAATGTCGAAAATTCTGCCATCGGCGGGACTATAACTGGGCTAGGACGTCCAGTCAGAAGCACTGCAGTGACATCAGTTGGCGCCTGAGTCACCTGTACCGACTAGAAAAACCGCTGAATTCGACCTAACTAGCGTCTAAAATCCTACCACCGTCGAGACTCGAACTTATGGCCTGCCGGTCAGAGACACTGCAGTGACATCAGTGGGTGCTTGAGTCACCTGTACCGATCCTAGAAAAACCGCTGAATTCGACCTAACTAGCGTCTTAAAATCCTGCCACTGTCGGGACTCGAACCTAGGGCCTGCCGGTCAGAGGCACTGCAGCGAGATGAGTTGAGCCGTCACCTGTTCGTTGTGGTCGAGCTGGCAGAGGTCGTGCAGCGCGTTGTTGCCGTAGGCGTCGAGCTGGGCGGGGTCGGCGACGGCGCCGCGGCGCTTGCCGTCGGCGCGGCCCAGCAGCTCGCGCAGGGCGGCGGCGTTGCGGGCGCGCGCCGCGAAGTGCAGGGGCGTGCGCGCCTCGCGCGGGGCGTTGTGCGTGTTGGGGTCGGCGCCGGCCTCCAGCAGCGCGCGCACGAAGCCGCCCTCGCGGTCGCGCTGGACCGCCTCGTCCAGCAGCGACGCGCAGTACGGCTGGCCGTACACGCGGTTCGGGTCGGCCCGCGCGCCGTCCGTCTCGCCCGCCGCCAGCGCCGCCCGGAACTCCTCCAGCCGGCCGGGCTTCTGCCACTCAAGCAGCAGCTCCAGCGGGTCCACCGGCCGGCACAGGCTGCCCGTGCGGCACACGCCGCCCGCCGACATCTGCGAAAACACGAGCGCACGCCACACTCTGTTAAGGCGGCTCCAGACATTCGGCATTCGGCGAATCCCGAGTAGTGTAGACGGGTTGCTTGCGATTCGCCGAGAGCCGAATATTCGGTGCTCGCCCTACCCACCGCCTGACGGTCTTTAGGACACATCAAAGAGTGCAAACATTCGCCGAACACATCAGATGTTTGGGATTGGCCAAGCAGTAGCTCACTGCTAGGCAAATGCCGAATGTGTGCAGACGCCTTTAGATCGATCACTCAATAAATTAGAAAAGGAGTAAAAAACAAGGTAACGACAGAGTTTGGCTCGGGGCCTGCATTGCTCTTTTCTCTGTAGCGACTGTGGTCGTCAGGGTCAAGGGTTTCCTAGAGCCCCGACGGTGTCGGACTTTTAACATTGGCTGTGTAGCTAGATCGAACCTTACGTCCTCCCGGTCAGAGGAGGCACTGCAGTGCATCAATTAAAGGCCAGAGCAACCTCAGCCGATGTGAGCGAATGAATGGATAGGGACTGATTGATGTTACCGGGCGCGTCAACAGATAAGGACATTGTTACCGTAAGGATAGTGCATGCTTTATTGCGGGAGGTGGCGGTGATCTTCCTCCTCTGGAAGCGGAGTTTTCCCCAGCCGGGACAAAGCTCTGAGCTCCCGACATGTGTGGTAGTGTAGTGCATGTAAGTGTAAGTAGGTATAAGTAAGGGGTGAGGATAGGACAAAGAAGGGGGAAGAAAGATCGCTCGCGGTCCGTGTCCCGTTTGTTAGATTACTGCTGTGGATTTCCTTGGTATTGATTAAAAAATGGAAAACTTACGATCAGAGCAGGTGACCACTAGAATTTTCCTCCAGACCCGCTGAATTCGACCTAGATATCAATCGCGTAGAAAATCCTACCACCGTCGGGAATCTTAGGACCTCCCAGTCAGCGTCACTGCAGCGATGTCAATTAGTGTCCTGAGCAACCTAAATTGGTGTAAGCGTGTGAATGGATAGGTGAGCGAGTGAATGAATAGGTAGGTGATATGAAGGAATGAATTGGAGAAAGAGGGAATAAATGAATCGGCGAGAGAGAGTGAATAAATTGATGAGCGAATTTTTTTAAAGTTAATTAATGCATGAGCGCGCATAAATAAGTAATAAACGAAAGCACAATAAATAATAACAGAATAAATTAAAAATTGTGGAGTTAGATTTCCTAAGTGAGCAGAGTGTTGAGACTAGCACAAATTAAAAATTGGAATCAAATTAAGAACAAATGCGAATATACGACCGATATTTGAAATAATGGGTAAAAAATAATTATGTAGTCATATAAACAAAAAAGTCTGTAAAAGGCGAGCAAAAATATTGTCCAGAACCATTTTAAGGTGGAGGTTTAAATCCAAAGACAAGGTTTTGTGGTTAGTCCACCCTTTGCATAAAAAAATCCAAAGTCATAGTGACAGTACTATTTTGGTATGACGATTCAAAACTTATTTTTATATTAGAGGACGGTGTGTAGGCTTATGTACCAAACAAACGTCACATATGTCCTTAAGATGAGACACAGAAAATCTCGCTTGTGTGTTGTTATCTTCGATTCCAAAAAACATTGTGTAATCAATTCAATGTTCAGAAATTATTTATGATGCCAATAATTATCAATTCATTAGATTCAGAACCAATGTGCGATCAAAAATATTTTTATAGTAAAACATTCTTTTCAACGTTTCCATTTTGGGAGTAAAATATGAATACTTACTATCTCTCTAAAAATGTGCTCTTGATGTTAAGATTACATTATTGAAATTTTTACCTCAGATATTGAACGAATGACGTAATTCCGAATTTGAAAAATCTATGGTATACAACCGACCACTTGATGTAGATCTTTGATGCGAGTTTCGCCAGATCCGAAGGAATGTTGATGTCGCGCTCGACATCCCAACGAACTTATAGAAATTCTGAAAGCGTGTCACGAACTTTATTGGGGGCCGTATGCCAAGAGAAGAGAGCAGTTAGTCCAAGGGAGTACCTGTGCTAGACGTGTTAATCAAGGCGGTTCAATCGTTTCCAGTCGGTTTTCAATGACGGTGATACCATTGTCAGTATTGTGAGCACAGAAGCCAGTGATGTGGTGGCTCTTTTTAATTTTCCAAATTTAGGTAGACCCCAACTTTCGATATTCGTAGATGGATTCACGAGCCCTTCGTAGCGAAATATTCTTAAGTCGAAAAAAGAGCTTCATCATGCTCTATCGCCGAGCACATTGAGAGGTATACAAAGTGGAATTTTGTGCAATTAACTGAACAAATATACTGTCAAATTATGGAAATTACGTAATTTCCAGAATATGCAGTTTACTCCATTGAATACTGTTGGGATGACGAGGAGTTTGGCGATATTCTTAGAGAATCAGTCACTTATTCATTTCGTGCCAGTAGTTGGCTAATGTGAATAGTCAGATTTGCTCAAATTTACTCAAATGAGTGATTTGGGTTCGTTATTTTTTTCAACAATGTTTGTCACATTCTCAAATTTCTTTCATTTGACTTTTATTCAAGTGATTTCCGCACTCGTATATCCGAATTTTCTGAAGCCGAGAGCTGTATGTTGGGGATAGCATGTAATGATATTTTGTTCAATTGTAATGGCAGGACAATAAAGACGACGATGACGCAAGTTCCTGCCCCCAGACGGCAACACCGCAACTTCACGCAGACGAGAGTGGTTATCGCGCCAACATTTCCCTTGACTTCTGATATTTCAACCGGAATTCAAAGGACGCAGGGAATTTGTGTGAACGAATGGTTTGTCTCTCGAAATAAAACCAATGCAATTTTGTTTGAAATTTTCTAACATGTGAGAATCCCGCGTATGTTATAATCACTGATTAGGAACCAAACATCAAATACCTTCTGCACAGCAACTGAACGTCCTTTTTGTATTAGTGTAGAATATGGCTGATGCTCACTTTACTTACACTTTATACAATTTTTTACCCAGATTATTTTCTGCTATGTTTTAGTATCTGAAATGATTTGTACTAATTATTATTTCGGGCATCAACCCCTCTTATTTCTGTTATTTCTACAGTTTGAGTTTTGTTCAATTCTCTGATCCCATTGAAGTAGGTGGGCAGTGCAAGATTTGTATATTTCCACCTTTTTAATACTATTGCAACACCTTGTACTTCCTTTTCACTTTCTCGTGAAAGTCGTGTACAAGATGTGTAAGTCGACGCTAGATATGATCATCCATCCATCGCCGTCACTTCTCGAGGAAAAAACACGCAATACACGTACGAGACGAATGACCTTAGCAGTTGATGCGCCGAGAAACATGAAATAATCAATCAATCAATCGGTGCTAAAACCTTTGGAAGGCAGCCAAAGTCGCAAGCCGAAATAATATATTTTTGAAGTTGAAATCTGACAGTTGTATATTTGTCATTTGTAAATGCGTATTTGTTTCATACAAATTAGTTCATGTCATTGTATTTACAAGTTGTCTTTTGCCAAGATTTTATGATATTATTGATAGTAAGGAGGTCTCAAAAATATTTGAGCTTGGGTTGGCTCCAAAAGTTTCGAACTGGTTAATCAGCCACGTTTGTGTCACATATAAACTGATTATTTCTTTCTCGCATACTTCTGACGTAGTAAAGAGAAGTTATTGTTTTGTATTAATGCTGCGGCAACTGCAAACTGTTCAGACGAATTTCTTCAAAATTTATATTGCCTGATTGACCTGGTCGAGCTCGAGTCCCTATGAATGTGAAATGGATATTTTGAGAGTACATTACTTGAAGCCTTAACATTTTCAAACTTTTCTCTAAAATGGCTCCAATTGTTTTGATTTTTTCCTTGGGCGAGGGTTAAAATTGCAAAAATACAACAACAAAAATTGGTGTTCAAGGTGTGTGACGTACAAATAAACCATGTAATCTGATTGTTCAATCTCTAGTTATAAGAAATTGAAACTTTCATTCTTGTCACAGTTGTTATTACACTGGATCTCAGCGTTTGCAAAGCCTGCGTGTGCAAGGTAGTCCCCTTGGCCGAATTCCTTCTTCCGCGAGCGGTACTGACTGCGGGCGCGCCGCGCGCAGACATCTGCGCAGCATATGAAGGCGTAGAAGGCGTCAGAGCGCCTGCGCGTGGTCGGGGGCGTTGCCTCTTACGTTGTGTGGACTGCGCGGTACATAAGCGCGTTGCCTAAAACGGAGACCAACGACACTTGCGTTTGATGTCTCAATAATTAACGCGTATTTATGGGTGTGCTCATGAGTCACGGCGCCATCAGGAACATTTTTTGTCATATGGCCAGGCACGGACATGGATTCCCTTAAAGTACTAGGTTAAAAGTCGGTCGCCGATTTGATCATTTAGCAAATGCTTGTTTTTTAATTTACTACGCGACTTCCAGAAATGGACAAGACATAAATGAAGTGGGCAAGTACTCTTCCACCATTTTATGTCTATATTAAACTAGCTAAAATACCCGGAGTTGCCTGGACTTTTTTCGTATCCAATTCTTGTTAAAGATGAAAAATATATATTTTTTATAAATCACGGTGTTTAAGATTATTTTTAATGGAATTGGTTCAAATATTAATAAAATACTATACTTTTTACATTTTATTTTACAACACTATTAGATTTTGATCTGTTCAGCTTTCCTTGGGTCTCGAAGTCTCTATTCTTCAAAATCTCTATTTAAAGGTCCAAGTTATCTAGAATATTAAAACCGAAAAACTACAAAAATACATAATAATTTTCAGCTTTATTCAAGTTACATGTTTTGCCTATCAATGTGAATTTCATGAAAGAAAAAACTACATTTTATACAATCATTAAACCACCACATCGAAATATATTGACAACGAATGGCTTCCGTTCGCCTGACTTACATGAATTGAAAAACAAAAGATCAATCAATACACTACGCTGTGGACAGCATGTACACTACATACTGAGAT